GTTCGAGACCAGCCTGGCCAACATGGTAAGACCCCATCTCTACTAAAAATACAAACATCAGCCAGGTGTGGTGGCATATGCCTGTAATCCCAGCTACTTGGAAGACTGAGGCAGAAGAATCGTCTGAACCTGAGAGGCAGAGGTTGCAGTGAGCTGAGATCGTGCCACTGCATTTCAGCCTGGGCAACAGAATAAGATTCCATCTCCAAAAAAAAAAAAAAAAAATTCTTTTCCAAGTGTCAGAATAATGGTTTGAAAAGTAATATAGCAGGCCGGGTGTGGTGGCTCATGCCTGTAATCCCAGCAATTTGGGAGGCCGAGGAGGGCGGATCATGAGGTCAGGAGATCGACACCATCCTGGCTAACATGGTGAAATCTGGTCTCCACTAAAAAATATATACAAAAAATTAGCCAGGCGTGGTGGCGGGCGCCTGTAGTCGCAACTACTCGGGAGGCTGAGGCAGGAGAATGGCGTGAACCCGGCAGGCAAAGCTGACAGTGAGCCAAGATCGCGCCACTGCACTCTAGCCTGGGCGACAGAGTGAGACTCCATCTCAAAAAACAAACAAACAAACAAACAAAAAGTAATACAGCAAAGCCTTTTTAGCTTAAATATTAAAATCTAAAAGGTACCATTATTTTTGAAAAGAAAATATTTATGTGACAAGAGAAATCAAGAGGAAAAAAGTTTTTTTATCACTAAAACGATTTTGTCTCTTATAAGAAAGCCCTTTTACCAAAATATTAATTCACTTCTGTATGTGTTTACAAAATTATGTTGAAGTAAAGCAACTTCTACAAAAAACTGTCTAAACTTGCTGTATCAAATTTTATTCCTCCCACTCAAGAAGATGGTTCTTTCTTCAATAACCCCAATTATGGTTGTGGTCTCACTATTCCACTAAAAGCTACTTTCTTTTTCAAGGTCACCAATGACCTCCACATTCCTAAATCCCATGGTCATTTTTCAATCCTCCCTCCACCTAATGACAACAGCATTTGAAACTCTTTCTTTCTGGAAACACTTTCTTCACTTAGCTTCCAGGGTATTCTCTCCCAAATTTCCTATTTGACTTACAGCTCTTAGTTGTTCTAACCTTGTTCTTCCATTCATATCCCCCAACTCTTTTTTTTTTTTTTTTTTTTTTTAATTTTAATCCAACCCTCATATGGGAACCAGAGCACATCCCCCGAGTCCTAACAGTGAGAGTATCTCAGGGCTCAGCCACTAGACCTTCCCCACTTTTCTATCTGCACTCAATCCCTACATGACCTCAAGACTTTGTATACTATCTATATGCTACTGGCTCCCCCAAATTGAAATCTCCACCCTAGACATCACCTGAAATCAATTCTTACAATGGGAAGCCAAATAGGTGTCACCATCTTAATGTCTAAAACGTGCTGAAAGGGTAGTGTGTCCAAAACTGAACTTCCGACCTCTCCTTTTCATTGATGTTCCAGTCGTTTCTTTATCAGTTAGTGGCAACTCCATTTTTCCAGCTTCTCTGTTAAAAATAACGAGTAGGAGCAGGGCACGGTGGCTCATGCCTGTAATCCCAGTACTCTGGGAGGCCGAGGTGGGTAGATCACTTGAGGTTAGAGCTCGAGACCAGCCTGACCAACATGGTGAAATCCCTGTGGCACAGAGTGAGACCTCATCTCAAAAAAAAAAACAAAAAAAGGAAGAAAAAAGAGAAAAATTCATGAGCAATGAGAACCCTTACATTTGTTACTTCTGCCCAAATTCTGTGGCCCCAGACACTCACAGGTCTTTACTAAAAATATAAAATTAGCCGGGCGTGGTGGCACACGCCTATAATCCCAGCTACTTGGGAGGCTGAGGCAGCAGAATCGCTTGAATCCAGGAGGTAGAGGTTGAAGTGAGCTGAGATCACGCCATTGCACCCCAACCTGGGCAATAGGAGCGAAATTCTGTCTCAAAAAAAAAAAAAAAATCATGAGTAGGCTGAGCGCTGTGACACACCTATAGTCCAAGTACTTTGCGAGGCTGAGGTGGGCAGATCGCTTGAAGTCAGGAATTTGAGACCAACCTAGGCAAAGACATCTCTACAAAAAATTTTTAAAAATTAGTTGGGTGTGGTGGCGTGCACCTGTAACCCCAGCTACCTGGCAGGCTGAGGCTGTGGGGAACACTTGAGCCCAGGACCTTAGGGTCTTCAATGAGCTCTAGCCTAGGGCCTAGGGCACAGAGTGAGACCTCATCTCAAAAAAAAAAAAAGAAAAGAAAAAAAGAAAAATTTGTGAGTAATAAGAACCCTTACATTTGTTACTTCTGCCTAAATTCTGTGGCCCCAGACACTCACAGGTCTCACTGCCTCATCTCTTTACTTACACTTTACTTACATATCATCTTAGCGAGACCCCCCTCTGACCATCCCATTTATAATTATTATACAGGCCCCACCCCCATAGCATTCCCTGCTTTATTTTTCTTGGTCGCATTTCTAACACAATATATGTCCTACTTAGTTATTTTAGTTTATCATGTTTTCCTCTAACCTAGAAAGTAAGCTCCATGGGTGCAGGAATTTTTGTTTCATTCACGGCTGAATCCTCAGCACCTGGAATAGTACCTAGCACATAGCAGGTATTTAATAAATATTTGGTGGATAAAGAACAATCATGAAGAAGTAGGAACTGTATGCTTTTAAAATACATCCACAAATTATTTGATATACTTGAGGGTGGGCTGGACTTAGTGATTCAAGGCTAACAAAATACAAAGCTGGATTCCCTACAGCAAGTGATCAAGAAAGCAAGATAGAAGTCAAAATGTCTTTTTATGATCACTTGCTCTAAGGAAGCCAGCTGCCATGTGATGAAGGCACATTCAAGCAACCCTATGTAGAGGCCGGCAAAGCAAGAAACTGAAGCCTACTGCCAAGCCAGCTTACTCAGTGAGCTGTCTTACAAGTAGATGCTCCAACCCCACTGAAGGCTTCAGATGATTAATGACATCTTGATTACAGCTACACAAGAGACCCTGAGCCAGAACTACCCAATTAAGTCACCCCTGGGTTACTGAGCCAGAGAAGCTGTGTACATAAAAAATGTTTTAAACTCCTAAGTGTGGGAGTATTTGATTACACAGCAATAGATAACTAATACAGCAGGACTGTAATAACCTGGGATAATCACTTTGGGAATAAATTTAGCAATACCTAATAAAACTAAACATGTAGATATCTCTGAACTGAGTCTCCCAACTGGTATTCCTTGGATGAGTATGGCCTAGGGGCAGCAGGGTGGGTCCTCAGTGGCTAGAGCATCCAAGTTAGTTACCTCAGTCTCAAGTAGCCTCCTCTGCTTACTGTAGAAATATTATCATCTTGTGTGAGTGTCGATGACACAGAAACAGTTGGTAAGTAACAAACTATGACCCAGAAATTCCATTTCTAGTTATGTATCTTAAAGAAATCTTGCCAGGTACAGTGGCTCACACCTGTAATCCCAGTACTTTGGGAGGCCGAGGTGGGCAGATCACCTGAGGTCAGGAGTTCAAGACCAGTCTGACCAACATAGAGAAACCGCGTCTCTACTGAAAATACAAAATTAGCCGGGCATGGTGCCGCATGTCTGTAATCCCAGCTACTCAGGAGGCTGAGGCAGAAGAATCGCTTGAACCCAGGAGGCAAAGGTTACAGTGAGCCGAGATCGTACCAGTGCACTCTAGCCTGGGTAACAAGAATAAAACTCTGTCTCAAAAAAAAAAAAAAAAAAAAAAAAAAGAAATCTCATATGTGTATATAAGGAAATATTTATTGCAGTATTTTTCATAATAGCAAATGCTTGGATATAACATAAAAGTCCACCAGTCAGGGTGTAGAAGAAGAAAATTAGTTTCACATTGGAAACAAATTATTAATACATATAGTAGTTGTGCTGGGTGTGGTGGCTCATGCCTATAATCCCAGCACTTTGGGAGGCCGAGGTAGGAGGATGGCTTAAGCCCAGGACCAGCTCGGGCAACATAGTGAGACTCCGTCTCCTCAAAAAAGAAGAAATTAGCCAGGCGTAGTGGCTCACGCCTGTAGTCCCAGTTACTTGGGAGGCTGAGGTGGGAGGATCGCTCGAGCCTTGGAGGTAGAGGTTGTAGTGAGCCGTCATCATGCCACTGCAACCCAGCCTGAATAACAGAACAAAATCCTGTCTCATAAAATAAAAATAAACAAATGTGCGTTTTCTCCGAGACATTTTCTTTGGAAAAACTACCCCCATATAGCATAGCCAAGGTAAGACACCTTACTAGGTATAATTCTCTAGCCTTCTTTCCAAAGCCAAGTAGACCAGAAATATAACTATTTTTTTTCATACTTATTTTACTTTGCTAACTAAAGAAAAAAGACGTTTTGAAGGCCCTCAGGAGGACTTAAAGGGCTAAAGTAGAATGCGATATTTAAAAATAGTTTCAAGGGTAACATTAAGCCTAGACATGGATATACTTCCCTAAACACAGATAGAAATTAGCAAAACACTGAACATGACTCATGAACAAAGGGCAACTGTCAGTGAAATATATACCTAAACCTTCCTTTCAATTAGGCTTTTTTTTTTTTTTTGAGTCTTGCTCTGTCACCCGGGCTGGAGTGCAGTGGTGCGATCACTGCAACCTCTGCCTCCTGGGTTCAAGCAATTCTCCTGCCTCAGCCTCCTGAGTAGCTGGGACTACAAGTACACGTCACTATGCCCAGCTAATTTTTGTATTTTTAGTGAGGATGCAGTTTCACCATGTTGACTAGGCTGGTCTCAAACTCCTGACCTCAAGTGGTCTGCCCATCTGAGCTTCCCAAGGTGCTGGGATTATAAGCGTGAGCCACCATGCATGGCTTCTACTAGGTTCTAAAGCATTTAATAGAATATCATGATATCTCTACCCTCACTATATGCCATGTAAGGGTTCTCAGTTTCCTTTTTTATTTTGCCACCATACATTGTACAAAATTCAATATAATTTCACCAAATTAAGTCCTACTTACCAAGTGCTCTTGCTACTGCCAGAAAAGGAATCTGGTCAATAACTGTGCTTCTTCTAACAGGTCCATTGTGAGTGAGCCGAGGTCGTTTCCAAACTACACGATTCACCCCAGACTTGTTCATCACACTAAAAATAAATAGAGTTCACATAAATAATCTAAATGATTAAAATACAACCATAAGGTAGCTCAGTATATTAAATCACTAATAAAAGAAGACTACATTATTACGAAATAATGTCTTATGTGTTTCAAATACAAAGATAACATAAGCCAAAATTCCTGTTCAGAGAGGAATTAGGGTGGATTCAAAGCAGAAAATGTTGAGATTACTGGAACAGGCAGTATAACCAAATGAATGTAATGTGAAGAAAAGTGAGTATAAATACCACGTCAAAAAAAAAGCAAAATTACCTAATTAGTAAACAATTGGGGGATGACAGAAGACCTTATCTAAGTGGAGAGAGAATTGCTTGAACATGGGAGGCAGAGGCTGCAGTGAGCCAAGATCGCACCACTGCACTCCAGCCTGGATGACAGAGCGAGACTCTGTCTCAATAAATAAATAGATAAATAAATAAATAGGGATTAAATCGTGATATAAGCAATTAAAAAGGAAAGGTTATAGAGTTCTGAGTGTTTATGTTGAGGATGGGGAAAACATAGCAGAACTTCAGTTTTAATTTTTGTTATTGTTGGTTGGTTGCTTTTTTTTCTTTTTTTTTTTTTTTGAGACGGAGTCTCACTCTGTTGCCCAGGCTGGAGTGCAATGGCGTGATCTCAGCTCACCGCAACCTCTGCCTCCTGGGTTTAAGCGATTCTCCTGCCTCAGTCTCCCGAGTAGCTTGGATTACAGGCATACACTACCATGCCTGGCTAATTTTTGTATTTTTAGCAGAGATGGGGTTTCAACATGTTGGCCAGGCTGGTCTGGAACTCCCGACCTCAGGTGATCTGCCCACATCAGCCTCCCAAAATGATGGGACTACAGGCATGAGCCACCATGCCTGGCCAGTTTTTTTGTTTATTTTTACTTATTTATTTATTTAATTTATTTTGAGATGGAGTTTTGCTCTTGTTGTCCAGGCTGGAGTACAGTGGCACGACCTAAGCTCACTGTGACCTCTGCCTCCTGGGTTCAAGCGATTCTTCTGCCTCAGCCTCCTGAGTAGCTGGAACTACAGGCACGTGCTACCACGCCTGCTAATTTTTGTATTTTCAGTAGAGATGGGGTTTCACCATGTTGGCCAGGCTGGTCTCGAACTCCTGACCTCAGCCTCCCAAAGTGCTGGGAGCCACCACGAGCCACCATGCCTGGCTAATTTTTTCTTTTTTGAGGAGATGGGGTCTCACTATGTTGCCCAGGCTGGTCCTGGGCTTAAGCCATCCTCCCACCTCAGCCTTCAAAGTGCTGGGATTATAGGCATGAGCAAGGCGCCCCGCCTGTTTTTTGATACAGAGTCTCACTCTTGTCGCCCAGGGTGGAGTGCAGTGGTGCACTCATGGTTTACTGCAGCCTTGACCTCCTCTTGTGCTATACTGATCCTCCCACTTCAGTCTCCTAAGTAGCCGAGACTACACGCATGTGCCACCAGGCCCAACTAATTGTTGTGGGTTTTGTGGGGGGGGGTTGTTTTTGTTTGTAGACACGGATTTTCACCTTGTTGCCCAGGCTGGCAGTTTTAATATGACTTCAGCAATATACAGAAAATACTATATATTTAGGTATTTCTGTAATTCAAAGTGTGAGACTAGACTTTGGGAAATAGATCAACTGTAGACATATAGATTTGGGAGTTACAAGAGTAAGAAAATCCTCCTAAAAATGTGTCATAGGAGCAACAGAAATGCCTAAAACTTGGAAATACGATTAGTTCTTTAGGAAAAAACACTGATAATCAAAACATTAGAGATGGTCTCTCAAACTCTGCCCGGCATGACCGAAATGAGCTTTACTTCAAATGGGAATTGATTTTTTAAATTTAATTTTTATTAATTTAAACAGCCATTTGTGGCTAGTGTTGAGTATACTGAACAGTCCAGAGGAGAAGTGAAACAAGTAGAGAATGACCAGAAAACACTGTGGGTATTAACAAAGAATACAAATTCCAGAAAGTGGCTCATTTACCATCCCCTCCTCCTTTTTTTTTTTTTGGAGACAGTCTCGCTCTGTTACCCAGGCTGGAGTGCAGTGGCGTGATCTTGACTCACTGCAGCCTCAGCCTCCTGAGTAGCTAGGATTACAGGCACCCAACACCATGCCTGGCTAATGTTTTTATTTTTAGTAGAGATGGGGTTTAACCATGTTGGCCAGGCTGGTCTTGAACTTCTGGCCTCAAGTGATGTGCCTGCCTCAGCCTCCCAAAGCGCTGGTCTTACAGGCATGAGCCACCATGCCCAGCCTACCATCCCTTTTGAGAACTAGTTTTCATTTTGTTTTGAGACAGGGTGTCTGTCATTCTGTCGCCCAGGCTTCAGTGCAGTGGTATGATCGTGGTCCCCACAGCTTTGACTTCTCGGGCTCAGGTGATCCTCCCACCTCAGCTTCCCAAACAGCAGGGACCACAGGCATGTAATTTTTTTGTAAAGAATGGATCTCACTATGTTTGCCAGGCTGGTCTCAAGCCATCCTCCCATCTGGGCCTCCCAACGTGCTGGGATTACAAGCATGAGCCACCATGCCCAGCCAATAACTAGTTTAAATAAGTTCTGATATCAACAGGTTGATCATAACAAGAGTTAAAATATCAAAGGCATTCATTTTGTTACATTAAGCTTTCTTCAATGATGATCCTCAAAAGTCAACAGCAGAGTAAAGACTAAATTTGCCATTCACAAGAATCCATGAAACACAAGAGTTATAAGATGCCAACATTCTGTCTTAATACCATCTTAAAGCTCTATTATTCTTTGCTAAACCTTCTCCCTACCAGGTAAGGTTTAGTATCTAAGTAATTTACAGTAGCTACTTCCAACATAACTAGACGAGCAGCTCTCTTAACACTAAATATTCAAAGATACTATGATCTGTGTTTCTGAGAAACAAAAAGACAAATAATGACACTGGTTAAAACACAGAAGTTTTAAGATCTAGTAACAAAAAACCAAAGCAACGTTATAAAAGATGCTTTTACTGCACTCCCTGTTGTTGTCCTATATGATTAAAAGGCATATAAAAAGGAACAGCCTGACATGCAGAGAACTGACTGAGCAGCAACAGAAGGCTGGAAAAACAAAATGCTGGCCTGTTGCCCAGGCCGGGACAGAGGGAAGCAATGAAATAACTTATAATAAAATAGCTCAATTTTTGCAAAAAGTTACCTGCTCCAAAATAGCAGAGTATCTGCCCAACTGTCCAGATGGTGTTTTTGGTAATAAAGCCAAAAAACTCTTTCTAAAAATGTTATTAAAATCAAATAAAATATAATTTTAAAATTCAAGTAAAAAAACAAAGAATAGTCAAGAAAGATATTTTTAAAACACAAAAGGGTAATTTCTTCTGTAGAAAATAATTATTTCCTTTTTTGTTCATTTATTTATAGTTATAAAAAAATTTTTTTACATAGAGATGGAGGTCCCGCTATGTTGAACAGACTGGTCTCAAACTTCTAACCTCAAGTGATCCTCCCATCTTGGCCTCCAAAGCGCTAGGATTACAGGTGCCACAGCCAGCTGCTTTATTTCTTTTTTTTTGAGACAGAGTTTTCACCCTTGTTGGGCAGGCTGGAGTGCAGTGGCATGATCTTGGCTCACTGCAACCTCCGCCTCACAGGTTCAAGAGATTCTCCTGCCTCAGCCTCCCAAGTAGCTGGGATTACAGGCACGTGCCACTATGCCTGGATAATTTTTTTGTATTTTTAGTAGAGATGGGGTATTGCCATGATGGCCAGGCTGCTCTCAAGCTTCTGACCTCCAGTGATCCGCCCACCTCAGGCTCCCACAGTGCTGGGATTACAGGTGTAAGTCACTGTGCCCAGCCCCAAGAAAAGTATTTTTTAAAAGGAAGATTAATGAGAAGGAATCAGGCCTACCAATATTTAAAATTATAATAAAGTCTCAGTTTTAAAAATTATAATACTGGTAAATAAGCAGGAAAAAAATTATAGCCCAGAAAAGACCCAAATATGTGGACGAATTCCGTTTATAATCTGCAAAGCCCACTTAGCATGACAACGAGCAGAGGTGTCAGATATATTCTGACCTTCGCAGTAACAGGATCAAATAGAATATAGCTTGAAAGGCAGTTCATCTAACTTTGCAGGATACTGGGCAGGAAATACAGTATGCCACCATAGCGACTTCAAGGATGTTGTCTTCAGCAGTGATTCAGACAGCCAGAAGCCATTTTTCCATCTCCCAAGTGATGGCTCAGTTGTAAGCAAGGCGACAGGGTCTACCTTAGGTAAGCTTAATGTGCCACAGAAACCAATGTAATAAATAGCACATGACTATAGTTTCTTTGTTCCTACACAAGACAAACTGCATGCATACAAGGAAGCCAAGGTCTGTGCTTCCGAATAGAAATGTATACTCCATTCAACGACTTCCCTACCAAGATGCAATTCCATTCAGGGATCATTCTACAATAAGCAATGCTGTCTAATAACAGAGGTGATATTTCACATTTATCCTAACTAGAGAAATACAAGGAGAGGGTAAATTCAAGGTCATCTTCCCACTGAAGAAGGGTCTTAAGCCTGGTCACCCTGCTACTCAGTAATGAAAAGATGTGTAATTATTCAAGTGGCTACCAGTAGTCATCTAGAAAAAAAGTTAACTTGTCTATTTACTACATAGCTTAGATCTCAAAATTCCAGAAGGATTAAAGATTAAAATATAAAAGATGATGAAACCATATGAGAACTGGCAAAGTGGTTCTCAAAATGTGGTTTAGGGGACCCTGGCAGGTTGCTAAAGACTTTTTCAGGGTGTCTCCAAGGTCTAAATATATATTTTTTTCATAATACTACTAAGACCGCATGTATACAGTGGAGTTTTCTGAGAGGCTGCATGACTGGATATGATATAGTATAATAAAAAGTGTCAATATTTGCAAGATCTGTATAACTCAGTGTACCAGTATATTACAAACAATAAATGCATATATTAAAAAGTCATGCGTAGGGGC